GGGGCCCTCTGGCATCCCAAGCCAGTTCTTAACCATCGCGCCACTCGGCCGGCCCTGATTACATGATATTACAATACAGACAAACATGTCCTTATGGCCCGAATGCTAGCCAAGTGATTGGGGTGCTCTGAAGAGGGATGGGGTTCTAGGTATTAGGACACTGGTTCCCATCTGGTCTGAGGGTGCTACAGGATTTCTGGGGGGGGGTTCTATGCCATTCTTCCCAGGTGCAACCACTAAGAAAGAGATTGATCATTTCTAGAGTGGCATGTCAGTTCTTTGGCTTGGTAGACAAGTTTACTTAGGAAACTAGATAATGGCCAGAATTTACTTTGATGAATATAGAAACAGAAAAAAAAATATGTTGCCAAAGCTAGTTTACTGAAAGCTAATATGACTTGAAACTATCCTCCCTGGACATTTTGATATAACTGTTGATGCAAGATTATTCTGCATGCATTTGTGAAATGGCCTATCTCCTCATGAAGTCCCTGTTTTGGTGAATGGTACCCTGTTCACCCTGTTACCTGAGCCAGAACCTGGACTTACTCTAGACCAGTCGTTCTCAAAGTGTGTTCTCTGGACCAGAAGCAATAGCATCATCTGGGAACTTGTTAGAAATACAGATTCTTGAGCCCCAATGAGGCCCACTGAATCTTGAGTCTGTGTTTCATGGAGCCCTCCAGGTGATTTCTCTGCACCCTTGACCAGTGATCAAGTCCTGTGGATTCTTCTTCCTGAGAACTCCACGTTCCCTCCCCTCCATGCTCAGTGCCACTGCCTGGGTTGAGGTCATTATTATTTCTCACCCAGATTACAGTAGTTGCCAAATGGTTTTCTAGCCTTTTGTTTTGGCTCCCCTCAAAGCCATCCTGGATTCTGACTGCCTAGCAATGTGCCTAGCTCGGTGTTAGATGTAGAGTAGATACTCAGCACTTATTTGAAATATGAATGAGTGAATGAATGAATGACCACCAGAGAGATTTTTCTGAAAAGCAATCTAATCATGTGACTCTCTTGTTTAAAAATTTTCAGTCACTCCCTGTACCTCTCAGATTTAGCTTCCTGTTTCTTAGCTTTTCCTGCCAAACCCTTCATGATTTTGCCTCTTATTTGCTTCTCTGGCCTTATCTTCTGCTGCCCCTGTCGCCAAGTTAGTGAGTGTCCTTTGCTCCCTGCTCATACCTGTGAGATGCTCGTGCGCTTTTTCATTTACTTTAGCTTTTCTTTCCATTGCTTTCCTTTCTTTTATTTTATAACTCTAAACTGATTTATGTGCCAGTAGCCGTGGTAAGTAGCTTTCAATAATTCACAAGTACTACACCCAGGAATGCCTTTCCCCCTTTCTCACCTGGTGTAAGTGCTCCCATTCTTCAAAACAACTCAGGCTTTGTCTACTGGAAACGTTTCCTGACCTTTGCCGTGATTTCGATACCCTTCTCCTGGGCTCTATTTCACATGGTACATCCCAGATAGGATGTACTGTTTGTCTCAATGCTCCTGGTTGCTGAGTCACTTGTCTTTCTACTGCCTGGACCATCATTGGCTCCTTGGTACAAGGATTGTGTCTCACTTGTTTTTGTATCATTAGAGCCTGCACGCTGTCTGGCATCTAGCAGACACTAAATGATCATCTGTGGGAGGAAATATGTGCCAGGAACTGAACACTCGGGCTAGAGTCCCAGTGATGCTGTCCCTGACCTTCAAGAACTCATGGGGAGAAAGAAAATAAACCTACACATGTCTTACATTGGTGTAGAAGTATGATCATGGAATAATGCCTAAATTGAAATTTCAAGAAGATAATGTCTAAACTGAAATTTTGAAGGATAGTGGTAATAAGGATAGAAGCCAACATTTATGAGCTCTTATCAATGCCAGGTGTCCTGTTTAATAATAGTTTAAGTGCATTAAGCAATCCTGTTTGGGAGGTGCTATTGATTTATTTGGTAAATAACTGTTGAGTGACTTCTGAGTATCAGGCAGTATTCAGAGTGCCACCAGGATATAATAGGGACAAATGCCAACAAAGTCCCTGCACTCATGAAGCTTACATTCTAGGGGAAGAAAACAGAGAATAAACCCATAAAAAAATAAATATGTGCTGTATCATGTGGTGATAAGGGCTATAGGGAAAATAATGCAGAGAAAAGGGGATGGCGGTTGCTGTTTTACATGAATTGGTCAGTAAGAGGACGTTTGAGTAAAGACTTGGAAGAAGTGAGGGAGTCCACCATGGAGGCGGCACAGGGAAGAGCAGTCTAAGCAGAAGGAACAGCAAGTACAGAGGCCTGAGGCAGGAACCTTCCCAGTGTGATCCAAGAACAATGAGGCAGCCAGTGTGGCTGGAGTGCAGTGAGGGAGGGGCTCAGGGTGCAGTGGGGCGAGGCCGGGTCACATGGAAGGAAGACAAAAAAGCATTGAGGGGCAGCGATCACTTTTCTAAGTCATACAACTAGTGTGGATCGAAGACTTGACCCCAGGCAGTCTGAATTCGCTGCCTGGTGTCATAACCACTCATTTTGTCACCTGGACAGTTTGAGGGGAAGGTGATCCTTCCGGTATTCAAGCTTTCCTTTCTTTTAGCATTTTGTACCAGTTGTCAAAAACAACTATTATTACAGTATTTCTCTATGACATATTTTCTTTGCCAAGACTAGAGTTAATTCTACTTTAGTTACATTTTAAATTGTTGCTTTCGTTTCGGGGCTCCACCCTAAGCTGCTTGCTTAGATTAAGAAAGAACCCTAATCTTACCTGCAGTACCCTAGTCTTACCTGCAGTGTGTTGTATGGATTCATACATGGGCTGCATTGTGGGAGAAATTCCAGCATGGCTAATTCAATCTATTATGTTGACTTTGATTCGTTTACATTTTAGGATCATATTTGTTTACCTTTTCCCCAAATTCTGGGGCTATGGCATATTTATACCTTTCTCCTCATTAATTACAGGGATGTCAAAATAAAGAGGCAGGTATTTCTTGCCAACTCATGAATTTTTAGGGTTTTTATAAAACTTTGCTGATATAATAACAGGGTTACATTTCAAAAGCTAGCTAAATTATTGATAAAAATTGTGAGTCAATAGCTTTCATAACAATGAATTTTTCCATTGCAGGAATTAATGCCTTGGGATCCCCCATATTACAGTGGTGTGATTCGTGCAGAGAGGTAAGTTTTTTGAAAGATACTCATGTATGAGAAGAAAGAAAGAAAAATGTTTATTGAGCACTTTGTACATTAATTATGTTAACTAGTCTCCTTGTTCAGTTGCCCCCATTACAAACCTGTACCTTCTCAAATTCAGGCCCTGTGCTGGCCATCTGCCCACGTATTTTAAAATCTGGATGACAAAGCTATGCTCTCAGTCACAGTATCATGCTTGACCCCTTCCCCCACAAGCCCATTCGATGGCTTTTGTCATTTCCTTGCCTAAGACTGTTAATTATCTCCTGTGGTGTCTAGAGTCTGGCCCCTCTCTGCCTCTTCCTATGTGTACCTTACAGGTTCTCTAGACTTTGAGCATTTTGGGGTCTGGGACTTTGCTAGAACCCTTGTTGTAACTCGTTTCTGGTCAAGGATAGGTGCCCAGCAAACATCTGTTGAACTAGTGAAGAAATAATGTAGTACTTGGCATGGCGCTGTGTGATTTTCCTATGTTTTCTCATTTTTATTTCAACATATTGTCAACACATTATTGGCACATCTGGAAGGATATAAATGAAATAAAGGCTTAGGAAACTTAAGTTGATTGAAGTACTCCTCTGGTTTCTATTCTCCTGTGTAATTATATTGTGGCAAATTAGTAGATTTTTTTTCCCCTAAAAATTCCCTATTTCTGTCATTTTTCTATTTACATATAAACCCAAGAAATATGGAGGCTTGTTCAAAGTGACCACCTTGTTTATGTCCCAAGCAACTTTAAATGCACAATAGGAATTTTTAAAAAACCTTAATCTTACCCTTCAACAAATTGTTAACATTTTTCTCTTATAGTTCATTTTATGTAGTTTAACTAAGGAGAGTTAAGATCAATTTAGGTAATGGAAGAAAATAAAAGTTTTGTGCCTTTTTCTTCATTCGTGTTGGCATATATCATGGTAACATATTTATTTGATTGGTATTAAACTTGAAAACCTTTTTGTTACTATGTATTATTCAAGCATCAAGTAGTAAGTACCTCACTAAAATTAGACTTTGTTTATTTTAATGATTTTTTTTTGGCATTTGTCATAAAACAGAAGACAGTAACTTTATATGTTCTTTTCTGCACCAGCAGGAGGAGGTACTTTAACATCAGTTAGTGTGTTGAAAAGCTTACCCACTGAAGTTTTATTTATTTTCCC